TCCTCGGCCTGACAGAGGTGTGGGCTGGGGAGATAGCGCAGGAATGCGCAGTGTGTAACTTGACAGATGATTACTGTCTCCAGTGCAGCTTGAGCTGGTAAATGGGATTTACCCAGAGGTATTGTCCTGCTCTTTCATCTTACTTGGTAAAAGGCATTTTATTTTCTGAGCAGTTCAGTGCATTGGATATCAGCTGCAGAGGTCTTATCCCAAGCTGTCTAAACGACTAGCAGAGCTTTGGCAGATGCTGGGAACTACTTTGAAGCAATGTAGTTGCTATTAAGAGCCACTCATACATATCTAATGTATATGCAAAGCTGGGGAAGGTGGTGTTTGAAGACCAGAATCCCAAGGACCTTATAGTTAACAATGATTTTTGGCAAAAGGAAGGCAAGGGAGAGATGGGCAAACTAATGTACCTGGACCTCCAGATGTCTTGGAGTGCTTTATAGGAGTAAAGGTACCAAATGCGATATCATTCTTTAACTGTCCCTCCTCCACAGGAACATCTGTGTAGAAAAACCACCTGAATGCAAACACAAATGTCCTCCCATGACGGGGAGGATGTGGTTTTAGTGGCATGAATATGATTTCAACTGAGTGTGTGGGTTGGCCAGTGTAGGGAGGAGGACTCTGTCCTTCTGTTCCTCAGTCTCATCTTTGCATGCAGTTTTATGCTGTGCTTGGCCAAATTGCCTGAGCCCATGGAGTACCCGGGCATGGGTATCGCATGTTGGGATGCACTGTGCTGCAGCCAACAGTGAGTTAGGGTTTTATCAGCTGTGTGACTGCACCAGCATCGTGATGACAAGCAGGAGCACCTGGGTTGGTGGCATTTTAGCAAGTATCCCTCACTCTTCCACACCCCCCTGAGCAGTGTGCTGTTAACAGAGGGGAAAATACACATTTCTATAACACAGCCCGTGTCTGTGGGTGGGTTGAGCCCTACTGAGTCTTTGGAAACTGGATTCTACTCCATGCACATGTCTGTGGGTTGTTGATAGCTTCTTATAATGGTGAGAGTGGAAGGAAAAGTGATCCTGTGGAGGAGCAATGGCTTGGAGATCTAGTATAACCCTGTCTCTTTTACTTTATTGCCACAATATAGTTAAATCTATTCTCTAGAGATAAATGAATCTCTGATCTTTTAACCTGGGGAGACTCTGCCTCCTAGAGCTGAGTCTGTAGTATCTTAGGGAGTATTTGGGGCAGCAGTAGAACTTTGACGAGCTCAGTACATGTGCTTGTTTCCAGAGTGCTGAGTGATAGCTCCTGAGATGCTGCAGTTTGCTGGTGGAGGTGCAGCACATGTGGCACCGGCAGAAAACTCCTGTGTGCCTGAAACAGGGGCAGGTTCTCGGCTCCACAGGGATGAACAAGTGAGCTGAAGTTACTGCCAAGTTGGCCATTGCTCCTGGGTTTCATCTGTCTGCCATGGAAGGATGTGGTGGTGCCCTCTGATGGCTGGTGGTTGTAGGAGGATCCAGTCAACTGCTTCCTTTGGGTTGTGGGGGACTAACTGGTTGATTTACACCTCCGGCAGCACTGACCCTCAGAGTCGCCTTGGGGAGGAACGCTTCACTGCCCTATACATCGATTGAACCTTTAATATTTTGATGTATTTAATATTCTATTTAGGGAGCAGTCATTGTAGTGAGCTCAGTACTGCAATGTGAGGTGCAGCGCTGCACAAGGCACAGCATCTTTCATAGAATCATAGAATCCCAGCCTGGTTTGGGTTGGAAGGGATCTTAAAGCTCATCCAGTTCCAGCCCCCTGCCATGGGCAGGGACACCTTCCACTAGGGCAGGTTGCTCCAAGCCCCATCCACCCTGCCCAGGGTTGGGGCATCTTCGTTACAGTTCGTCCGGTTACAGCTGTCTGGTCCCTTTTGGAAAGAAAGATAGAGAGCAATACATCTTTTTTCCATTAATAAATCCTCTTTCCTTTCCCCCATCTCTTATTTCACTTTTTCTTCTAATAACATTAAAAAGTTGCACAAATCCTAAATGAATGCACAGTGCTTTGGGACCTCTTGGGATGAGGCGCTGTGTGGAAAACAAAATGTTAATGGCTTTGGTTGGGTTTTGGTCTCTGGATGCAGAACTCCTTAGGGTTGACCTCCGAGGGAGTGATTTTGCAGCCTGTGCCTGTGGGTTGCAGTTGCTTCCGTCTCCAGGGCAAACCCCATGAGGTGGGGTGGGCTGAGCAGGCTCGGTGCCACCACAGCTCTCAGCCTGCCCTCCCCAGGGAAGTTCTGCTGCCCCTGTTGGACCGTTTGAATGGGCACAACTTCCCAGGCCAGCAAAACTTCAGGGAACTGTGCCTGCTGATGGGATTGGAGAACAGTGGCTGGAAGCAGCAACGGGCATGGGCATGGACATCAGTGGGAAAGACTGTCCCTCTGGCATGGCTGTGAGCAAGTGGGGTGTGGAAGGGTGGACCCTGGGTTTGCAGAACCTGGGGGCCAGCAAGCTCAAGGAGAGGTTCTTTGCCACCCATCGAGCGGCGTGTGAGCTCCTGTCCTGCTCCTGGCCGTCCTTGCTCCTCGTGTCCCACCGGGTGGGTTGGTGCCTTCGCGCAGCTGCTTCAGTCTCAGTTGTACAGCTGAAGTGCAGTTAGAGCAACCCAGTGGTTCCTTTTCTCCTCCCTCCACTTCCCATTCCTCATCTCTGCCTTGTTTGCTCAAGTCAGGAAGGGGGAGGGTATGGGGGAAGTTAATCATTAAACAGTGATGTCTTCTCCTTAACTCCTTCATGACCTGGGGGCAGGCTGTTCCTGGTATTTCCAGGCTGCTGCTTGTCTGCAGAGGAGTAAAAGCGAACCATTAAAAGTAGCTGAGCTCCTCTCTTCTGTGCCGTTCCTAAAGGTGTTGGTTTCCTGTCTGATGGTTCATTCAGCCCAGCACCGAGCCGAGGGTATGAAGGGTGGAGGGTGGCAAAGTGGTTTGGGTCCTCTCTGTAGGACTGGAGGAGTCAGCACCCTCATGAGATTTTCACTTCCTGGTGGAGTTTGCTTTGCCTTTGTCATTGGTGGGGAGAAGCAAAAACCACACCTTCTGGGACAGCACTTCTCTTGGAGGTTCTGTGCGTGAAACCTCCAGTCACAGGACCTGCCTGGTCGAAGGAATTGCAGCTCTGCAGCAGTTTCCTTGAGGTATGTGCCTTTCACTCTGGAATCCACCAGCTGTTCTTTTGCTTAAAAAGATAAAGTTCATTTTTCCCCAGCTGCAGAAAACATGTACCCCTCCGGACAATCTGCTTCTGGGGTATTTTGGCCCCTCTAGGAAGATGCCTGTGGCTTAAATGATTTGGAGCATCTTTTTGACTAAATGAAAGGTGTATAGAGTTAATTTAATACAGTGTTTGATTTGCTAATGGCTGTATTCTGTTCTCTGAGGGCAGGAACTCTTTTTGGTGTGTGTGATGCTTTGGTTTGTGGAAGAGGGTGAATATAGAAGCAGCACCTTCCTCATCTTGCAGTGACACTGTCCTCCATCTGACCCTATAATATATTTTCTTCAAGGGTTGCTAAGTGCATTGGCTGGTGCGGTCTGCTCTGCTCAGGAAGTGGCTTTGAGTTGGCAGGTGCCCTCTTGGAGATGATGGGCAGCCATTAGGGCAAGCATTAGGTGCTGGTCTGGTGCCATCTGATAACTTGAGCTCCTTGAGACCCTGGAGGAGGATGCTCTGTGATGGCTACGCTCTGGCTGAGCCCTCACACCCTAGATCTGAGTGTGGGTGCTGTGTGCAGGAGGGGAAACACAAATTCTGCTAACTGAGCCTACCTGGAGACAACTGGGAAGGCAGGGAGATCCAGGGGGTTTCCGAGAGCCTCCTCTCCTAATTCTCGTGAAGTTGGGTTACTGTTGTCTGGCTGACTTCCACATCTCCAAAGGGACCTGGCAGTTGTGTCCTGATGCTCTTATAATGAAGAGCACTGATGTCCTGTGTGAACCAGCTCCTCTCTAACAGCCTTGAAGAGGCGTGCAGCAGAGCTTGCTGCCCCAGCAGAAAGCCGGGCACCCGGCCAGCCAGGCTCTCGTTAGAAAGTGAGTGCAGGCTGGAGATTCCCCACCAGGGACTGCAGTGGGCTCTGCAGTGTGGGCTCACAGGACAGGAGGTCCAAGTCAGGGTATGCCTGTGAGTCACCATAGAGAAGTGCAGGGTTGGGAATGGGCAGAGGCCAGTCTGAAGGGAGCAGTCTGGAAAGGTGGGAATGCCTTTTCATGCCCTCCCTCTGAGGGGGGGAGCATTTTTCCCACTTTAAAATCCCTGAGCAGTGCTGTGGCGTGGGTCTCTCTGCCTGGTATGAGTGACAGTGTTTGTAGCTGGTGGAAGTTTTCCTTCTCTTCAGGAATTTGTGAGCAGTCTCCACCCAGCAAGTTGAGAGTTGTTGCCAGGAGAAGCAATGGCGTTTACCTGGCAGCCTCTGGAAGCGCGTTAACTGTTTGTGTGATGTATCCAGAGGGATTTTTGTTAGGAAAACCGAAACACGTGCTCCTGCTGCACTGATGGACTAATTGGAAGGTTCATGCTTCTTCCACTACCTTAGACTCTGGAGAAAACCCCTCCCGAGATCTTGTTTCCTGCAGAAAGCAGTGCCTGCGGCCATGGTAAATGACTCTGATGATGTGGGGCCTGTAATTAGTCTGTGTCAATATCCTGTTGTGAGTAGATCTCTGTGCAGGTTTCTCCAAGGCTGCTGTGCTGCATGGGCAGGGAGGGTGCAGGTCCCTGTTGTTGGGCAGTTTCACAGTTAAGACAAAACTCCGAGGCTGACACAGGTTTTCTGGCTGCTTTGTTCCCCCTTGGTGTTTTTGTTGTACTGGACGTTGGGTTAATTCATTCAGTCCTGGGCTGAAGGAGTGTTTTCCAGGGCATTTAGCAGATCACCCTAGGTAAAAAGTCTTCCCAAAGACTTTCTGATACAGATATCCTGAATGGGAAGAAAGGAAAACCTCTAGTCCAGGATTTTACCTTATTGTTTTCCCCCTGCAGATGCCTTACTGGCAGACCTGGAATCCACCACCTCCCATATCTCCAAACGGCCAGTGTTTCTAACGGAGGAAACACCTTACTCCTATCCAACTGGAAACCACACGTACCAGGAGATTGCTGTGCCACCTCCCGTGCCTCCGCCACCTTCCAATGAGGCCCTGAATGGCACTGTGATTGACCCCTTAGACCAGTGGCAACCCAACGTGTCCAGATACGTCCACCAGCAAGTAAGTGAATGTGTGTGCATGGGGAGGGTGCCTGCTTGTTTTGTTGGTGCAGTATTTCTCAAGGAAGTAGACGAGGGGAGAGAGTAGCAAGAAGTGAGGATGAGTTTGGCTATGAGCAGGGTGGGAAGATGGGGGGAGGTGTGAAGTTTTAATAGACATAACTATTGAACCCCCTCATCATTGTTCCAGCAAGATGGTGTGATGAGATTAGAGTTAGTCATCTGTCTTGTAGCCTGTGGGAAACAGACTGGGGCTTTCCAGCAGAGATCTGCGGCTCATAGGCAAATCTGAAGCAAGTGGAGAGCAGTTGTTCCTGGCGTAACTCATCTGGTAGAGGCTGGCTTGGCTATAGAGCAGATGTTTTTGTCTGCTCCTGGGCTTTGTTCTGCCATGTCCATGCGTGGGATTGCAGTGTACTAGCGTATGTATTTGCTTTGCATTCTCTGTTTCCAATGCAAATCTCATTTCCACAGCCTCAGTCCCAGTCTCCTATATACAGCTGTAGTGCCAAAAGCTCCAGTGCCTCTGTTCCTAGAGATGGAGTGAGCTCTCCTTCTCCCCGTGCCAGTGAAGAGGAACACGTCTACAGGTATCTAGTCCTGTTAAGAGATAAGCCTGATTTGAGCCTGCTGTGGCTTGAGTTGCCTTCTATAAGTGGAAACAAGCAGTACTCCCTGTGTATGTTATGTTGCCTTGTGTGGATTTTGATTATCTCTTTTGTAAGAGGCTCTGTAACTTTCAGACTCACTCTAAACGTTGACCTGGCTCTTTGGTTTCCTCAGCTGCAGAAGAGGTTAAGGGTCTGTCAGACAGAACAGGATCTGGATTGTGTTGTGAAGGATACGCTCCAGAGACAACTGGCAAATCCAACCCCCTGTTAAGCAGCACAAAAGTTCTTTAGGGGAAGGGTGGCCTTGGGGTCAGTTATCCCAGGGAACTTGATTATGTATGGCCTGGCAGGATGTGCAGTGACTTGAATTTTCAAGTAAATTTAAACTTCTTAAACTTTCATCTTAACTAGTGATAGATAGCTAGCTAGGCAGATAGATAGATAGATAACTATTGCAAATAATTGCAAATGTGGCTGCTCTTACAGTGAGGGGTTGGAGGAGTGCTATATGGTAGGACAGACCTTTCTGCTGACATGGGGATGAGTGAGGAAGAGGCTGTCAGAATTTCATCTCTGATGGCTCTCTACAGTGCACTCTGTCCTGGGTACCTTTTCACACTGTGGAGACTGGTGTTTCTTTGGTGTCGTGGTCTACATGCCTAGCTCTTTCTGCTGGACAAGAAGTTGCTTTCAACCAAAACTAATTCTGGGTAGAGGCAAGAGCTGCCCAATGGAGACAGTAATTGCTATTTTTTCAGATGCCTGCGTGCAATTAGTACAAACTGGAGGTAATTACAGCCTGAAAGTCCTGTACGAGGGTCAGGCATGGCTTGGTTCTGGTGTGCATTATAGCACTGGATGAAGTGTGCCCTCCTCAGACCGCAGCAGAAAGATAGTAGCTGCCCTTACGGAATTCCATAATTGTCACTTGTGTCACAGGTGTCAAAGTCCTAATGCCTGTTACTTACCAACACCCTTACCTGGAAGTGTGCGCAAGATGTTGCCGTTTTGGATTTGGGAAGTACCTTTTTGATAAAATAAGAACCTCTAGAGCATTAAAAGTTATTTCTTCCTTGGTAAGTCTAGGAGAATATAACTTCTCTGCCCTTGATGATGGCAAGGCTGTTATTACAGTGTAATTACTATAAAAACCACTGCATCAGTGCTAAATTTTGCTTTGAAACAGTTTGCAGTTATGTGTGGTAAATGGAATCGCTCATATAGGATAAGCAGTAATTACAGCCAGTGTTTTATACACACTTGTGCACAGGTAAACTTCTTTCAAGGCTTGTATGTTTAACAGAGTAGAAAATAGCTACAAATTACTGTCTTAAAAATTGATCAGAGTTCCACAAATTAAAGGCTTGAGGACTTGAATAGAGACCTTGAATGCTGCAGGAGGCTACCACATAACCTGCTACTTTTGACTTTGTTGATAACTTGAGGTTTGTTCTTTGCATCTTTCTGCAGTCTCTGCTAGCCCTGCATTCCCTTGCTTCAGGGAGGAGGGTTTTGCTGCCTGGTGTGATGTCAGCAGAACCAAGTCATTTTCCTGTATGCAAGCTAATGGTTCTGCTGCTGTTGTGCGTGTCCTGGATGTGCAGATGGTTAGCTCTTTGGTGCAGCACACAGTCCTAAAATCTGAGGCCCTGTCCATCAATGCTGTTTCTTTGTAACTGACAACTGAAGATGTGGCTGTGTTGTAGTAATTTCACAAAGCACACATCTTGTTTCCTCCAGAGCTAAAGGCATCAGCTTGAAAAGATTACAGTACCTGCGTAAACTTTGTGAACCTGATATAAGTTTCCCTCCATCCTTCTGCTGTATCTTGACATGGAAGTTTTACATTTCCCGTTTGTCTTTAGTTTCCCGAACAAGCAGAAGTCTGCAGAGCCATCTCCCACAATGAACAGCTCCTCTCTGGGCAGCAACCTCTCAGAACTGGACAGACTCCTTCTGGAACTGAATGCTGTTCAACATAATCCCACCAGTGGCTTCCCAGCAGGTAGGGAGTAGCAAGACATTTGGTATGAAGGGATAGTTTGATTCTCAAAATGGTAGCCTGTTTTTTGCTTTCCAACATCTCACTCCAGCTCCTGATCAAAGATTCATTTAGTATGGGTGGGATCTCTTGAGGTCTGTGGTGCAACACCCTGCTCAAAGCAAGGCAAGCTTCAAAATTGGCTCTTAACTGAAGTTTCCGAGTTAGATTAGGTTGCTCAGGCTCTTGTGCTGTTAAGTTCTGACTATCCTCAATGGTGAATGTTCACAAGATACCTGGGCAGTTTGCTGCTCTTGCCTGTGATAAAAATGTATGCATGGCCTCAGGAGTCTGAATGGTTCTTTCCTGCTCACCTTTCTCAGATGAAGCCAGCAGAAGCCCATCGCTGCCCAGTGTCACTGGCCCTCACTATGTTGTCCCAGAGAGCAGCAGCTCTGTGGGAGAGAAGGCTGCACCCCCAACAAAAGAAAAGCCAAAGCGAAATGGTGCACGTGGGGTTGAAGATGTGCGTCCCAGTGTGGAGAGCCTGCTGGATGAGCTGGAGAGCTCTGTGCCAAGTCCAGTGTGAGTAGTGCTTTGGTGTTTGCTGGCTTGGGTGGGGTGGAGCAGGTTCTTGTGGAATAGTGACTGTGGACTTAGGGGCAGATGCTGCAGGAGTGTGATGGACAGAAAATGGGCTTTGTCTAAAAGGGGTCAGAAACCAAGCAGGCGTATGAGGATGCAGGTGCTTTTTTATCTACTCCTGGAGGAAAGAATACATAAGTCATGTTCCAAGAGGTGGGTTGTCCAAACTCAGATTTATAGCTGATCACAAATATCCACCATGTGACAAAATGAATGTTTGGTCATCATCCATTTCTTAATGGATGGGGGGTGTGTGCGCACTCACGTTAGACTTGGCAGAGGCAGGGTCTGTGTGTGCTGTGGAAGCTGGGTCTGGGGGAGGGCTGGCCATGGTGGGCAGTGCTGAGGACACTCCTCATGCTGTGGCACTTTCAGTCTAGGAGTGCTCTCCCAGGCTTAAACACATTCATTTTTTGTTTCCCTCCCCTTGTCAGCCCGGCAATCACTGTGAGCCAGGGCGAGGTGAGCAGCCCCCAGCGGGTCACCAGTCAGCAGCAGACCCGTATATCTGCTTCTTCAGCTACACGAGAACTGGATGAGCTGATGGCATCTCTCTCTGACTTTAAGGTACGCTATCATGACAACTTCAGACTTCATCTTGTTCCTCCCCACCCTCGGACTCCCTTTGTTTGTTAGCCACATTTGCTGACCTTGTTTGGTCTCCGGAATGCCTTCTTTCCCTCCCAAACTTGCTCTGGGAAATTTCCTGTCATGGTATTTGTGTGCTCTGAGTGCTTCTGTAGGTGCTCTCAACTCATAAATTTTCATCATTGGCAGGGTAAGGCAGCTCTGGATTCTGTTTCTCTTTGGCTCTGCAGTTTGTCTGTTTGCCAAAGATAATGAACTTAGTTACTGCTCAGTACAGGGTGAATTATTTTGCTGTGCTACAACTTAACAAGAGGTAGGGGAGCATGGAACATCAGTCTGCTTACTGACAGTGACCAGGCTCTTCTGTTCTCTGGGCTGACCCTCCTCTTCAGAGGGTATTTTTGCCCTGATGCACTTTTCCTAAGGAGGATCTTCCAGGCATGTGGAGCAGGCACTGAAGCCTTTGCAGCAGACAGCTGGAGGCTTCAAAAGTTTCCATCTTAGAACAGTATCTCTTACTCACCTCAAAATGGGATTAAAGTCTGAGCTCCTTGTGGGGGCAGAGAATGGCAAGTGTTGTTCAGAATCTTTCTTGGAAGCCAAACTACTGTGTTGGAAAAGAACTGCTACAGCAGTCACAAGTAGCACGTAAAAACCCCATAATAGGATAAGCTCAGGAGTAACCTGCCCATGATCATCTTGTTACATGATACTTGGATATCTACTTAGCATGTGTACTTGGATAACCTGTTCTGTATTCAATAGGTATGTTACTATTCTTGTACTCAGTGGTTAACTGTGGAGCTTACTTTAATGATACTTCATTTACCCATAATAATAGCAAAATGAGAAATACTTCCTTTTCTTACTTTCTACTTTCAGTTGCTTTGCTTATAGCCTTACTGAATTATCCACTTGAATTTGTTCGGATAGGTGGAGAAATCAAGCATCTAATGTCTCTTCATTGTTATTGTCGGGTTTGCTTTTTGTACGTACACATGCAACTGCTTTCTAATCCTAAGAAAGTGCCTAACTCTGTTTTTCACTTACATGGACAATCCTGCTGATGCTTCATGTTTCTTGTCTGTGCTGAGCTCCACCTCCTCCTGCCATCACTTTAGGTGGGGCAGCCAGATCTGATGTTTCTGAGGAGACGCAGACAGGAAATTCAGTGGCAGCTTTGCTGGTTTCCTCTGTGCCACCGTTCCTGTGAGCTTTTTTGATGTGTGCTGTGGGTTTCATGGACATCGTTACAATACCCTGAGTTTTGACCTAGTGCTTGAGTTCAGAACCCAGCAGTAATTGTGCATGCTCTGTGAGCCTTTGCTGGGCTTGAGTCCAGTGTGCCATTTCTGGCCCGTGTACTTCATTTTGTGAGACCCTAGGAGTTACTCACTGTTTTCTCTAGACTTACTGTAGTGTGTATTTAGTCAACTGCAAATATTGACACCTTCGTGTTGCCTTTTTTCCTCCATACCAGGCCCTAGGGTAGAGCGCAGGATAGCTACAAGAGTCTGGTCAGTCTGGTTGAAAAGCTGCACAGTTGTGAAACTGGAGCAAATTCCCACCCGTGCTGCTGGCATACCCTGCCTTGCTCCTTCTGCATCCTCTGGGAGCCTGAGCACGGTGGCCTTGTGCCCCAGCTGCTTTTATCAGGGCTTAGCAAATAGGCTTGGGGTGAGGCTGTTGCCACCAACCTTTGCTCCGAGGTAAGCTCTTGGCAACTAAGAATGACCTTGCCCAGCACAGGATTTCCTTGCTAGATACAAGGATGGGACGTTTTTAACTGTGGGTGTTCAAATGCTTTTCAGTCTTGAGAAAAGGCTTCAGAGTATTTGCGCACCTCCTGTAATACCTACATGACAGAGACTAGCTGCTTTCTGTGATACTGCCCACCTTCCTGCCTTAGTGTCTGGCTAAGCTCTGAAAACAAACTGAATTGCAACAAGATTTTAAGATTTGGGCTTTATAAACACAGCCTTAGAATTTCTGTGAGATATTGAGCTTGTCTGTGCCTACACATTCTTCCCGAAGCACAAAGTATGTGGTTTCTGTGATTATTTTCCTTGTGTTAATACTGTCATTGACTGTTTCTAACAGTTACTTCCCTTTTTCCTGACCTCCATGTTGCTTCATTTTCCCTTCAGTCCCTCTTTGTTTGTTTTTACCTCCTCTTTTTGTGCCAGGCAGTGGTTTTAGCTTGTCTGTAAAAATGTGCTTCTAGTCGGTACTAGGATGTAAGGGAGAGAAGTGGAGTCTTTGCAGAGGTGAAGGGTGAAAGGCTCCTGTTTGAGTACCAGGCCTGTGTGTGGCTGCAAGAAGCAGGACAGAAAAACTCAGTACGACGTGTAATCAGCTGGAGTTAGTACAACTAGAAGTTGCACTAGATTGGGATTGGAGGAGTGGAGGCACTGCTGTTTAATTTCCCTCATACCCAGAGTAAAAGGTACCATTACAGACCGATACATTACCCTTTTATCATCTTTTGCTTGCTTTAATGAGTTGCTCATTCTTTTTGCTTCCAGAATCCATTTGATTTTGGTTATCTAGCTCATCAGTCAGTGGGCATTGAGATTACTTAATGCTCTTGTTTCTTTGACCCCTGCCATTTCTGTGTAATACAATGCCTGCTTACTGCATAGCTGGATGCTTGTATTTAACTGTTCTATTACTGTTAGGCTCTTATTTTGGAGCTAATACATTTTTAATATGCTGGAAATACTGAGTGAAACATTAGCTGTGTCTTGAAAATGACTGACTTCATTTTAGGAAGTCTGGAAACCTAAATGTGAACCACAGCAGAAACCCAGGTTACTTTTACAGGCGCATCCAGCTTGGACAAAATACAGAGGGAAGGCAATACTGGGAAATTCCTTCATGTTAACTACTGAATGTACTTATTAGGCCTTTTCCTCTCTGCTGTGAGTGTGGGTCTTGCTGTGCTACTCAAACAGAGGAGCAATCTGTAAGGAACTGTGGTCTCCTATTCATAGAATCATAGAATAGGTTGGGTTGGAAAGGACCTTAAGATCATCCAGTTCCAACCTCCCTGCTGTGGGCAGGGATGCCTCACACTAGACCATGTCACCCAAGGCTCTGTCCAACCTGGCCTTGAACATTGCAAGAAATGGAGCATTTATCACATCTCTGGGCAACCTGTGCCAGTTCCTCACCACCCTCACAGTAAAGAACTTCTTCCTTACAGCTGTCCTGTTGCTCATTCCTTTCTGAGCACGGTCTCCTTATGGCACTACTGTTGTGTGTGTGTGTGCCAGCTCCTGACCCTATAGGATGGTAGCAGCTGAAAGTGTCTCTTAGATCTACTGGCAGATTTTGTTCATGTTCTGGTTAATTTTATCCTTTTATTCATGATAAGCATCTCAGAAAGGTAAGTAGAGCTGAGGTACCTTACATGGGCTTAGGAAGTTCTGTGCCCTGCTACCTTATAAACATCCAGCTTCTTGAGGCTTCTTTGGAAAAAGTAACTAAGAATTAGAACAGGTCTCGATAGCTCTTGGGTTTGGAAATCCTTTGTAGATACATTTTTAAAACTAGGAGGGCTCAGCACAGGTCTTAGGTGTACAGCCCCAATGGCTGTGTGAACTTGTCCAAGTCACTCATTTCCCTTCCAAAGAAAAAGGAGTAATGCCAGTTTGTCTCCTAGGGTTTAGCCAGGAATCACTGAAAATGGGGAGAGGAGGACCCATGATCCCAGGTCTTTTCAAAAGACCCTGTAAGTCAAGGAAAACCAAAAACTGTATTGGTTGCTTTGATTAGAGTGTATTTTAGATCAAAATTAATACTGATTTTATTACAGTATAAATGTGAAGTCTTTGGCCTAAGGGGAAGAGGCTAATCTAGCCACCTAAGCAATGCTTACAGGGCATGGAGTGACTGACAGACTCGTGTACATTCAGTATGTGTCTCTACAAGGTGAGATTAGTGATGTGAATAGAACAAAGCCCATGTTATCTGTTCCTGCTGTGAATGCCCTGAAGCTTTGTTTTCATTGCCATGAACTCATCATACTGGAGCATTTTATTAGTGTATCAAGAAGAAAATGTCATGCTTTGTTCTGTTCATTGATAGCTTTTTCTCAGCTTTGAAATGTAAAATTTACATGCCAACTATGTGTAAAGTTAACGTGACCTTTACTCACAGTCTGGACAGTCCTAGGCTTGTAGCTGGCTTCCCTGTGGCTGCTGCATGACTCCATCAAGCTGAAGGTGAACACATGAGCTGTCACTTAGGAAGGGCAAAGGAAAAGGATCTCCATGGCTGTAGAATTTCATCTCCTGTAATCTCATGTTAAGATCAGCACAATGTCATACCTGTTCTGCTCCTTGATAACTCATTTTCCTTCCTTACTGTTGGAAGCAAGGCTTTGGATCAATAGGGCTCTTTGATTTGGAGGTCACAGTTGTTATAATGCTCAATTCTTTGCTTTTTTTCCGTCTCCTTACCTCTGTCTTTTATTTTTTCTCTCCTTATTCCTTCTGTCTCCTTTTTGCAGACCAGTTCTACTATGTCTCTGATTTCTGAACCCTCTCTAGAACCAGTTCCCAGTTCAGCCAGTGCAGACTCCAGCAACACTCCTCGCAGTTTAACAGTGCTATCCCATTCCAAACACCCTTGTGCAAGTCACAGTGGGGACTCAGAAGTGCCAGCATCTGCCCCCTTGGCAGTCCCCTGCCCTGAGGAAGGCAGTAGCGCTGTAGTTCTGCCTGCTTCAGGGCATCCTGCCACTCTTCCACGTATGACCTGTTTGCCACAAACAGCCCCTGTGCCCCCACCACGGATCTCCTCTGGTTATGCTACCTGTGGGGAGCAAATGACCTCTGCAAGGCTGAGCAGGAAGCCTGACTCTTCTAGAAATGCTTCCCAGGTCGTGCCAGCTTCCAGTTTGGAGCTTCTGTGTAGATCTGCTAATGTGGAGGCACAAGGCCTGGAGCACACTTTGGCGAAAGAGACTGGGAAGA